TGTTGTTGTTGTTGTTGTTGTTGTTGTTGTTGTTGTTGTTGTTGTTGTTGTTGTTGTTGTTGTTGTTGTTGTTGTTGAGGCGGTGATTGTTGTTGTTGTTGTTGTTGTTGTTGTTGTTGTTGTTGAGGCGGTGATTGTTGTTTAGAAGAAGAAGGAGGAGTAGAATCTAATTGTGACCCATCACGTTGATGTGGTGACTGTTGCATAGAATGAGGAGGAGTAGAATATAATTGTGGCCTATCATGTTGATGTGGTGACTGTTGCATAGAAGAAGGAGGAGGAGTATATAATCTTGACCCATCATATTGTTGAGCCGTTTGTTGAAGCAATTGTTGGGGTACTTGTTGGGGTACTTGTTGAGGTACTTGTTGAGCCGTTTGTTGAGGTACTTGTTGGGGCACTTGTTGAGGTACTTGTTGCTGAGCTGATTCTTGAGTTGGTTGATAAATTTGCTGTTGAGGCAATAGTTTGGTAGCCATATTTTGTTGAGACAAGTCTTGTGATAAATTTTGAGGAGTAGTGGGTAAACGTTTATCATCATAATTAGCTTCATGATTTGTTGTTGACTCTGAATATTGAGGTTTAAAAATTGGCGATGCATTAGCAGCAGTAGTAATTGGTACAGCTTGATATGGTGGTACATTTTGCGGTTGTAAATTATTTGAATTGCCAAAATTGTTGTTGTTGTTATTATTATTATTATTATTATTATTATAACTAATCTCATGATTTGTTTTTGACTCTGCATATTGAGGTGGAAAAACTGGAGCAGATGGTGATGTGGTGGTGGTTGGTACAGTTTGATATGATGTATTTTGTGGTTGCAAATTATTTAAATTACTAAAATTATTATTGATATTATTATCAATTTGAGGTTGTTGCCTATATTCTAATTGTAAAGTGCCACCGGCGTGTGTTCTTTGTGGAACTATTGGATAAAGTTCTTGTGGTGTTGTCCATGAAGAAAGAGATGAAATACAATTTGAAAATGATGTTGTTGTTTTATCTTTTCCTTTTTTTTAAAAAAAAAAAAGAAAGAAATAATAATAATAATTAATTCACCACTTTAAAATCTCTCCTTTCAACTTCCAAAAAAAATAATACATATATAGATATATATTAATACCATAATAAGGAGCTCTCGGTTCACCAGGTGTAGTGGTTTCTATAGGAATTTGATCAACAATTTCTTTGCAAAATCCTGTAATCATTATTAATTTTTCTCCAAATTCATAAAATGATTCCAATTGTAATGTTAAAGCATCTCTCAGTCTTTGTCTCTTAAAGTCTGCCAAAGCTGTTTCCTCTATAAAAACATCACCCCGAAATATTAATTTAATTTATTAACTACTTTTTCATTTGCTAAAAATAAAAATAATTTTTTTATCAGTTTATTTTTTATTTTATTTTTTACCTTCAAGACTTTCTGATTCAGCTCTATTCAACTCAGAATGTAATTCGCTTAATTTTTGTTCGGCGAGATCTGATCTTTTTGGTTTACGTTCTTCTCTTTCAATTTTATTCCATAATGCTTCTTTTTTACTACGTTGCTCCTTCATTCTATCTTCTCTGGTACGTATTTCTTTCAATTGTGCACGATATTGTGCAAGTTTATTAGCTGCGATTTTATAAATATAATTATGGTTATGATAAAATTATAATTATTATAATTCCCAAATAATTTTTATTTAACAATACCTAAAATTCCTTCGGCTTCTGATATTTTTACTAATAAAGTACCAACTTTATCTGTTACATCAGCCAAATCAACATCTTCGCTTCTTCCCCAAATATTTAAATACTTTGCTGCTTCATTTTGTTCCAAAGTTAAAGTACTTAATGCATTCCATACTCCTCTCTCCGATGTCAATAATTTATTTAAATGTTTGGTATCGCTGTTTGCTTTATGCAATATAATATAATGAATTAAATAATATTATATAAAACAAACAAAATTTGCCAAAATGGAATAATATAAACCTCTAGTATTTACTGAACTAAGGTTGCGTCGAAGGTCATTTGTAATGTTGTCTAAATGAAGATTTTTTATCGCTTTCATTTTTTTATTTAAAAAAGAAAAGATTTGTAATCTTGTATCGTCTATGAAGATCAAATTTAGTAATATGTGCCACATTTTTTTTATTGTACAAAATAAATTGTTTACAAACAAGGGAAGGTTCTGTTTTCGTAATATATTTATAGAGCAAATATTTGTTTAAATTGGTAATGTGGCCAGGTCAACATTTGTCTATAATGATGGTTTTCGCATATACATTCTTGCCAATTTTCAATGACATCAGTCAAGAATTTCTTTGTATATCCGAAGTATGCGTCGACAGAGCTTATTCTTTACGCTTATTTGAACAGGACCCATTTGCTTTGAATTCTGTATGTAATAGTCTACCTATGTGCCCATTCAGTAAATACACCACAGGGGTCTAACAGCTCTCATTCCTGGAGCAAAAGGAATGCTCCATTCTCTTTTCTCTCAAACGATTTAGGGATAGGCAGAATTCATCGAGACGGTTCATGCACGGTCATATTTTATTGCAGATATTTATTTCCTCGCTTGATTTAATGCCTTTGAATAATGTCCATTTTTAATAACAATTAGCTTCCTTTTTTGGATCTGTAGGTCAATCATATTGCTGTCTATAATAATAATAATAATACAGAATCTTTGGATTCAAATTTTTCACATAAATATTTTATGAAAAAGGATGATTCGTCACAACAAACCAAGGAACCAATAGCTAATATTTTTTTAGAGAATGTTGCCAGATACTTGTTATTTGTTTATGTTGTATTCTTCCGTGTACTAGCAATCCCGAGAATATGAAAATCCTATTTTATAATAAAACTCTCCGTGAATAAAGCAAACAACTTGTCAAAAAAAAGGGAAAACATGTTAAAAATTGATTGCTTATTATTATTGCCAGTAATTGAAAATTTATGACCTTAAGTCGTTACGAAAAGGTGTCTTTTCTATACAACGTTGAAAATCATGATTTCGAGTTAACACAACTCTTATATGCAATTCTTTAGATGGGACATTCTTGGATTAGAAACCATGCCCACTTTGCATAGTGATTATAATTGTTAACATGTTGTAAAGCTTTACACAGTATCTAACACATGATTTATCACACATAGTAAAAAAAAGCAAGCTTTTAAATGGAAGAACCTTTGACACCACCAAGATCTTATAGATGTATCGATTAGAACTTGAGATATAGCCATTTAATGTAACAGGGCCAAATTTTGGGGTTTCGTCATTTCTACCCTGATAGGATATATAAAGTAAAGATTAGTCATAGATAGATAGATAGATGATGGGGAAATAATTTTTCTGGAATAGAGCATATGACCTCAATTATAATTGTCTGCGACTATATTATACCTTTAAGGGATGAATAATGTCCATTATTTCTTTCCCTAATTCAATAACACAGGCGCGGTGATAACGGCCAACCAAGGAACTAAATTTAAGTGTTGAGCCCATCTTTGATGTCTTGTCCTTGCTGGAATATCTATTTATTAAAAAGAATTACACGAATTTTTAATAAAAAAGAAAAACAAACAAATAAAATAAATATTTGGTTGAGTTTGAATTACCATTTCAATCAGAAACTCGTTACAAAAATTATTTACCTGAAACAAACAAATGCAAAACTTGCAATAAAATACCATTTAAGTCCTGGATTTTCCTGATTAATTAATAACAATAAATAAATTCTAAATTCTGCGCTTTACACAAAAATTACAGGTTCAATTCTTGCGAGGATTGTGTTTATTATTAATTAATTATGACGTAGCTATTGAAAAATGTTATTATATAAACGATATTGTTTCGCCTCTTCATCAAAAACTTTGAAAATTTGTATTATTAAAATTACCATATTAGTAATTGTATATCAACCCTAATAATAATAATTATTATTCTAATTATAGTTTAATTCTAATCAGAACTTTTTATGATGCCAACTCACGCAAATCATTATATCACCAAAGATTTTGATAAATTTCATGTCGAAAGTTTAGTTCTACGCGTTCAAGAATCCCACCGGGATCAAGTATTATTCCGAGCATCCGAAGATTGGGAGAAACAACTTTCCAGTGATATCACCAATGATTTAGTCACAAGTTTAAAAGTTCATCATGAACAATTAGTCGATACCGGTGATAAAATAGCCCAATTGATTTCCAGAGTTGCAACTGGTACCTGGTCACCTGGTATTCTTCCGCAAAATGTCATAAAGGATTTGAGTATCAATTTCCCAATTTACATCTCCGATTTCTATGATCAGTTGGCTGGCTGGTCAAGAGAAAATGCTTTCGATCAAGGCGAAGAGATAAAAAGAATCGGAAGTGATGTCAGCTCTTTGGCTCAATCAAGACGACCTTACGACCCTGCTTTAAGTGGTTTCGAACCCGAACTAACTGGAAAATTTGGTGATTATATGTTAATGCGTAGAATGTGCGTGTGTATGCATGTTAATATTGGTGTTATTTTTTTTTAATCCAAAAAAATTTATTAGCAAATACTTCTTGGGTTCTGAATCAAAATAAACTCAATTTCGGAATCAACACGTCAGCCAACAGCCCTCAATTCATTGTAGCCGGAAATGTCTCTGCAGCACCAATTAGTTCAGTCTATCGTTATTTCGGATTCATCGATCAAAATAAACGTGCTCTAACAATGAAAGCCGATGGCTCAGTCGTCAAAGATCTTTACGATCTTAGTAATCCTGCTCAACAATGGAGAATCGGTATTTATTTATTTTTTATATTTGTTCAAATCATGTGATCATTATATATTTAATCACGTGAACTTTATTATTAGAAAACCATGGTAAATATTATTCATTGTACAATAAAAAATATAAAGTTCGCCTTGGAGTTTATGATGGAAATGAAATTCGTTCTGGTAAAATGTATGTAAATTTTATGATGATATCTATATGATATAATTAATCTGCGCATATTTATATCGTAATTTGATTTATAGTGCACAAAATAGTTGGGATCGTTCAGCTGTATTGCTTGTCGAGGATCCATTGACTTATAATTATTCTATTGGTTATACAAGAGATAATTTGAATATCGAATATCCTTCACTCCTTAAAGATTTAAGATTAGGTATATATATATATATATATTTGATAATATAAAATATTTTTTATTATCATTATTAAAAACAATATTAATTTTCTTTCTCTCTTTCCCCATCAGTTACTTTACCATTAGTCGCATGGAAGAATTCATCAGGTCAATTTTTAACACTCACCAACGATCAACATGGTGATTTATCATTTACAAATGGAGAAACAACTCATGAAGGAGTTGCCCCTAAATCCGAACAATTGTTTATGTTTGTTCCTCATCCTGGTAATATATGTTTTTGTGTGACTAATGATTGATTATGTTAGATATTATTATTGTTGTTGTTATTATTGTTATTTTAACAATAATTATTATAATTATTTTGATAGATTTTTTTGAGAAATCTGTTATCATTGGTAATAATGGAAAATACCTTCAAATTGATCCGTCAAAGAATGGATCTGCTACTGCAAATTATGATTTAAAAGATCCAAGAAAATTAGTCTATGCATTATTTGATTATGATCAAAACATTTATTCAAGGCAATTAACTATAATTAATTCATTCATCTAATTAACATTACAATTAGTGGATTGTTTAATTGTCATATTCTCTTCCTAACCGCACACATATTTCTGTATTATGTAATAATGTAGGAGTGCACAATATTTAGCATCAAGATTACCTCAAACAGCCTTGGTCTCAGCAGCTCCACCAGCTGGTAAAGGTTCAAGAATAAATATATGGAAAGCCGATCCTTTCGTTAAATCAATCGGTATCAGATCGCTTTACTTTCCTGGATCTGATATCACCACCGGCCCAACCGACTCACTGCTCATCACCAGTTCAACTTCTGGACCAATTGCTCCTGATGTAAATGGTGATTTCCTACTGAATTTTATTGAAGACAACTCTCAAACTCCACCACCATCAGCCGAACAAGTCAAATTTGATGTTATGCACACTTTTGCTGTTGTCAAATACACTTTTGGTTTATTAACAGGTGATCTCGAGTATCTTGATGGCAAACCACCAATTCTTCCTAGACCATGGGGAAACAAAAAATTAGTAATACACCCACATGCTGGAATCGATGCTAACGCATATTATAGTAGAGAGGAGGGAGTGTTGAAATTCTTCTATGAACGAAGACCAGGACAAACTCCAATATATCTTTGTCGATCACTTGATGTTGTGGCTCATGAGACAGGTCACGCCTTCCTTGATATAATACAACCGGGTTGGTTGGCTGATGGTCAGACCGGAGCTCTTCACGAAGCGTTCGGTGATTTGTGTTCAATGTTTGTCATTATTTCAATGCCAGATTTGGTAGATAATTTGATCACTCTTACAAAATCAAATCTCAGAGACACTAATAATTTCTTATCAGCTGTTGGTGAAGAATTTGGCGAGTATTTGTACAAGAATAAGGGCAAAGGTTTAAGAAACTTAATAAATGATATAAGAGGTTCGACAGCTGAAAGTGAAGTACATGCAATGTCTTTGGTAATAAATAATAAATAAATAATTAATTAATATATATATATATATATACGTACGTATGTATGATGATTATTAATTTTTTTTTTTAAAAATTATTTTTAATAGGTATTCAGTGGATTTATGTATGATGTACTTGTTGATGTGTTCAACTTGGAAAGAAACCCAGCAATTAGAAGCGATGCTCAGACTTTACTTCAAGTAGGAGAAACATTAAGAAGAGCATTGTTGATAGCGCTCAGAGTATCATCTAGTCAAGCAACCGATCAAAAATTCCAGGAAGTTGCTGTCAATTTACAAACTGCACTTGGTACACTCGGTAGAAGAATAAATGCTGATTTGAGTGGTTGGGCAGCTTCAGTTAAAAGAAATGCTGCTGCACGTGAATTGACCCTTGCTGGTACTGCTGTTAATTAATTCTCATGGAATAAATATATATATATATATGTACATGTATCTGTTTTTATATATTATTATAATCCATTTTATGTAATTTATTTTTATTGTATCATATAAAATTGAAAGAAAATAAATAAAATCATTTATTTTCATTATTAAAATATTCTGTATTGACAACTATTTGATAAATAATAATTATATATCCGTTCTTATAAATGATTTGTGTGTGTGTAATGTGATAGATAATAAGGTTTTCGCTACTAAATCTAAATTACCAAATACAAAATTATCAATATATTGTGGATTTTTTGGCAATCTCTTTTCTTTTCTTCTAATAATGTTCTTTTGGGCCCATTTTTACTTTTTTATCTATCAAAAAAAAAAAAATCATGTGAATTAATAATAATTTTGATATATATATATATATATATATATAGTTTAAAACAATCTTCTTGTCATGACATAATTTTGACCATTTCGACTTATGTATGGTATGAACATGTAAAACAAATTAATTCCTCGCCTCATATTTATCTGCCAACCCTTTAATTGAATGCTTGATGTTTGATATATTGGATCATCTAAAAATATAACAAAATAATATCTGTTAAAAAACAATGTTATGTAAAAGCTATTTAATAAATATTAAACATAAGAAATGAAAAAATGATTTAATAAACAGTTAAATACAGTATAACCCTTGTTTCAACGGATTATAATTAAATTCGCGTTAAAATCTTTGTTATAAAATCCGTTGAAACGTGATTAGTATTATAATTAGTAATTTCGTTTCAACGGATTTTATATGAAAATTACTTATATGTCCAGTCACTCCGTTGAAACGAGGGTTATACTGTATAAAATTTACAATCTTTGTCACCAATTCCAATATGTTTTTTGTTTCAAATTAAATCATCTAATATAATAATAAGATCAGTATCAGTATGCAGTAAAAAATGATGTCGTGTAAAAATGATTTAGCAAACAACATCAGGAAAATAAATCTCATGTAAACCTACGCAGGGTTTAAAACTGACCAGCATTATGCGGAAATGTTAACAGAATTACCAAAATATCGACATAATGCTGGCCAATTCTGAACCCTACGTAGGTTTATGTAAGATTTATTTTCCTGATGAATTAAATATAAAAAATACAATCTTCGCCACATATTTACTCACCAACTCCAAGTTATCATCCGATTACAGAGGTTTGCTTCTGTGTTGAAAGAGTAATATCAAAATAATTAATAGCTAATATTAAATAATCTTAATACAGTGCGTAATGTGATAAGTCATCGAATATACCTAACATACAGGTGGATCTTTTCAATTGAAGACGAATCTTTCTATTAGAAACACATTAAACAATTACCATATGTTTCTTTGTCTATTTCGAGGAAAGTTAAAATAGCTGTTTTCCGATTCCTAGAAAGCTCTCTAATCGAATTATCTAACCATATTATAGTGCGCGCCATCAAATGCTGCGTCACTTCCAATGATACTCTTTGATGTCACGGGAGTATAAAATCACATGACTCAATCATTTTATCGTCATGCTGATTTCTGTATATACCACAGATTATTCCAATTATCCGGTGAAAATTTTCAACACCCGATTAACCGGATAATCGGTGAATATCATTCGGCGGATACAACCACTACGTAATATAAGTATATATTCTCGTAGATAATAAATAAGTCCTTATTCTTCTTTTAATAATTATAAAATTGTTTAGATTGGTCGAAGAGCTACAATTAATTACATGAAGGTTTGTGGATCAATTTTTAATGATTCAAATATTGAACAAAATGATGAAAATAATTTCAAAAGACAATAAAACAAATTCTTGCTGCATCCATTAATAAATAAACTAAATCATCTAGAACCCATAAATCGTTAGAACTGCTTAGAAGGCCAAAGAAATCAATGAACTTTAAACACTTAAGATAATAGAAAATCGTGAATCTTCTTTGATTACAGAAAATATCCCTAATATAGAATTTCAATGGGTACAAATAATCAAAATCTATATAAATCTACTGAACAAGCTGAAAGACCAAATGGTTCGAATTTAGTTGAAACGATTACTAATCGATCAGAAGAAAACTTTGAATCCGGAAACTGCTCAAGTAGTAGAAGAAGAAATTCAAGCGATCAATATTTAGATAAATCTAGAGGTTGGAATCGTCCAAAAAATCCTTAGTCGACTAGATTTTTTTTTATAACAAATAATAATAATATTTCGTTTTTTTTTTTTTTAATTTGTAAATTACGAATTCATTTCAAAATACTTCCACACAAAACCATGTGTTACGATTCGTTTTTTTTAAAGGTCTTCTGAAACCACCGCTTAAATCATTGGAACTTGAAGCCAATGAAATATTGGACCTTGTATTAGAAGTGCCTATTCGTTCACATGTAAAATTATCATCAACAACACACTACTGCTGTCGTCATCATCATATTGATGGTATTGATACTCTTCCGCATAGAAATTTTCCATTTTGAATGATAAAATACAAAAATCGTAATTGGTTAGACAATAATAATATTAGCATAGTATTAGTATTAGTATTAGTAGCATTAGTAGTCGATTCCAACCTCTAGATAAACCAGTAACTGTTCAAGCAGCAGAAGGAAAACCGAGCGAATCGTCTGTCAAAATATCATAAACTATTTGAGAATAGAAGAATGACCAAACGAAAATAAAGATTTTTCCAGAAAACAGCGTAACGGATCCACATTAAATACTAATATTGATATTCCAATTATAGCATCATCCCCAGATTTGACCATAATAGAAAAAAAAACCTCATTTATCTTCCTGCATTAGAAAGAAAGTTATATCAGAAGATCAAATATATATGTCGATGCAATTATCAAATAACCAATCACCTAAACCTAGTATATTAGAAGAGGATAGTTCTTTACTTTGATTAATATTGATAATGGTATCGATATATTTTTTTAATTAAACAAATAATAATAATTTTTTAATTTAAATGTAATTACTTTGTTGATTCTAAATAGTAATTATTATTATCATGATTATTTAATAAGAAATTTTCTCTGCATTTATATTTGAACAGTATCATTGGCTAAAGTAACTTTTATCTATCAACACTGAAAAACCAGTATCTTTTGCAATATTCCTACCATAATACCTGATCAATATGAAAACTAATAAAAAAGATGATTCTATAGATAGAGGTGTAATTAATGAAGTATTAGTAGAAGAGGAAGAGGCGGATGGAAATTTACTATTGAATATTTATCCGAGCCTAATAAAAGAAAAAAACTATTGAATTAGAAATAACGATCAAGAAAAAATTCAATTGAAGATGATAATTAAGTAATAGTAATAATAATAATAATATAATAATAATAATAATAATAATCATTTTATTTTAAAGATTATGTCGGAAACAAAATAAATGTTTATAAGGAATTTGAAGATGGCAATGTTGTAAGGGAAAAGAAAGAACTTATTCAGACCATTGTATCATTAATGAAGCAATTGATAAATTTTTGTGAAATTAATTTTTTTAAAATTAGAGAGAGATTAATTGGAAGGGGATTTGTTTTATAAACTACACATATGTATATTTTAGGCTGAAAGCATTCAAAAACATTTGAATGTAAATGAATTCTTTAGTCAAAATTAATACAAATGGATAAAGTAAAAAGATGACCTATTAGAAGTTAAACAAAACGTGAAGTAATTAGTAAAAAACATAAGCAAAGAAAGAAGATCGAAAGGTTACTTATTATTAATAATAATACTATTATCTATCCTAATGCTCTATTTCATCGCTTTCATACATAATTCTTCCATTATATAAATTGGAAGGATTACACCTAGACTTGTAATAATAAACACTTGAAACTTCATATAATTACCAATTAATAAATAATATTATTTAACATTAACATTACAATACTTAAATTAAATTCCAGGTCTTATTACATCTCGTACTAACGATTTAATATCAGATCATAGTAGCAGAGCGTGTGTTCTTAGCATCGCAAAAGGATATAAATAAGTTATTGGAAACTTGACAAGAGATTTTGGAAAAAGAATGTCAATGTTATTATTAGCATTATTGTTAATTCTTTCTTCTACATGTGTTAATAAAAACATTTTTATTAGCTAAATTTATATATGTATGCACATAAATAAAATTTTGATTTTATTTGAATAAAACTAGTATTGCCATTAATAATTATATTATGGTTCAAATAAACAAATTGATGATGACATTATGCTTACCAATAATTGTTACAACTGCATTTGGATGAATGTATTGATAGATTAAAAGGTATATCATCCATTTCATCAATTTTTTCATCTGAATATTTATTTATGATAATTTTTAAAGCATTAATAATACCTTCAGTAGTTGGTCATTTGCTAGGATTGGTATCGAATGCCAATCCGACATAATAAACATTAGGCGAATTGTTCGACTTACTTTTCTACAGATTGCAATTACAAGTTCAAAATCATGTTCCAAATTAATGAATGGTTGGTTGTTCCTGTTTATGCTAGTGATACCAACACACGAAACTGTATACACCCATTATCATAGTATATGGTTCACTATTGACTACTTCCTGGCGCAAATTGGTTTTCGATTTGCTGGAGTTGATCTGCTAAGAAAAAATTTTTCTTGAAGAATATGTCACTATGAATGATTTCCTGTTTATAGATCAATCACCTTAAACAAATAATATTTTTAATATTTTTTGTCTAAACTATTAAAATTTTTTGATAAATAATTTAGTAGATTTCCATCTTTTAAATATTGTTATATCAAAATATATTCTTTTGTAATTGGATCTAGTTAATTCGTAAATTTGAAATATATCTAATTAATTTTTTACCATGAAACTTGTCAGTTTTTAAACTAAAACAATTAATTATTATTATTATTATTATTATTATATTAATGTAGTTTTGGGTTTCTGCTAAATAAATATATTTACTATATTTATTATATATATTTTTTTACAATGAATTTTGTTATTAATAAAAAAATTTTATTTAAAAAAAAAAAAAAAAAAAACCAATATTTAGCAATCGATCATCTATTTTAATGGAATAATTTTCTCTTTTTCACACACACATAATCAAGATGCATATCTAAATATAAATATAAATATTATTATCGTCGTCATCATCATCATCATTATTACTATTATAATTATATAAATTAATTAATTACCGTTTAGTCCAATCTTTTGCAATTCTATCGTGTTCTTCACGATCATATAAGTATTGATTCGCTATATTTCCAACCAAAGGATCATCTAAAATAACATATTATTATTATTATTATGATAACATGTAATATAGCATCATATTGATAAATCGTCGACTCACATGGATTTGCGTCAGTTAATAATGAACATATTGATAATAAGACTTTTGATATTGTTAAAGCAGGCGACCAATTGTCTTTAAGAATATCAAGACAAATTTGACCTGAAGAGTTGATATTACAATGATAGATACGTGTACGAAATACCACCTGATAGATATGGAGTATGCAATAAAATGAAACATATATCATCACACGTATAATATTCGTGTAAGCATTGTCATCATTTCATACCTTTGGAGGCTTGAATGGATAATCTTGGGGAAAATTAATGTCTAGAAAGAATATTCCGCCAGCATATGGCGAATCAGCCGGTCCTGTGATTGTAGATACCCAGTCATATAAATTATCTCCTTTTGGACTTGCACTAATGTTAATTAATAATTTTTTAATTAGCGAAATGGAATATATGAATTGCAATTTGTAATGCAATTAGTGAAATGCAATCACAATTATATAAATTTGCATATCTTACCTGCAATTACATGGTGGATCAAGGCTAATTTCTGCAAGCTCTTTTTGAATTCTAATAATATTATTTTATTTATATATATTAAAATAGCACATTATACAAAGAATTTCAAATTCATTAATCTAACTTTTTTTAAGAGTCGCATTAAAAACATTATGCACTTACCTTTTAGCACTACTACTCAGCGGATTATTATTAAATCTACTTGAAGAAGAGAACTTACCACTACTCCCATTACTGGAACTAGAAGAAGAGGAAGTTGAGGCAATTGGTACAGTACTACTAGTAGAGGAAGTTGGAGGGCTAGAAGAAGAACTTGCTGACGGTGATGTGATTGTTGTAGTAGTTGTTGTTGTTGTCGATGGTGTAGATGTGGTTGATGTTGTAGTTATGGTAGAAGTTGTTGAGCCAGATCGAGAACTAATAGAACGTGAACTTTTACGTTTTGTCGACATTTTGTTATTGTTAAAAAAAAACAAGAAAAGGAAAATGACAAACCAGCTTAAATTTCCCTTTTTATATGATTAATTACTATATTAGACTTGGATTATGCTAATTACATGTGTATGACAATGTAAATTTATGCAGACGCGCACACCAGGACCCTGAATTGCAAACCCTCTTATGATTGGCTGCCTATGAAGGCCAATTTTGACGTGTGTATTAATATAGATTTTCGTCTATTATAACCCTTGAGAGAAATTTCAATCAAAGCAACGTCATTTTGAAATCTGAGCCTTTGACAAAAATTGGCCCATATAGGCTTTTAAATAGAAACAAGGACAATGTTGAAAATGATGTTTTGAGAAAAATGAAAAAGGGATATCTCAAAAATTTTACTATAGTTTCTAAGCCAAAAATGTTCTACCTAAATAAGGTGGGTGGTATTAACTCAAAATTGGGTTTCTTATTTAAAAGCCCATATGTATGAAATGTTTTAAATACATAAAAGAAGATCAATAGCATCTATGGACAATGTTGGGTCAATGAAGCAACAAAATTTAATAAACAAAGCAGATAATAAAATGATCACTCAACCTAATATGTATATTGGTGAAAATCCCAATCTGACATATATAAAAACAAGATTTTTTTACATATGGGATAAAGCAAATGATATCATGTGATCACGTTGCAAAGTTACTATATTTTTTTGTAGCCTTTTTTTTTCTTTTACTGAATTTGGTGTTCTGGAAATTGTATCATAATAGATCTTGCAAATTTCTTCTATTAATGCTGCTATTTACACAATTAAACATTTTGATTAAATGTTAAAATGGTTGTTTATTTATTTATTTATTTATTATTAACATTATTTATATGTATATATACAAATTTATTGTCAACAATATATTATAAGATAGTAAATCATGGACCAACCAATTGTCCCAATTAATGTTGATCAATCATAATGAACTTACTATGGCAGTTATGTGCCAAATATTGATATGTATGATTAATCTTCTGTTTAAAATAATTAACATTAGTAAACTTAATTAATCACAATTTATAATTAAAAGCATATTTTATTGGATAGTGGAATATATACATGCTATCAAAATTAATTTGGCTTTGACTCAATTCCCAAAACCTCAATTTTTAATTGCATCTGATTCAATTATTTATATGTTTTCATAAGAAGATTTAAAATTAATGCCTACTCTGACTAAGCCTCATTTATTTTATGCCATTTAATGGCGATTTCTGGATGCTGATGAGAAAATGCAAGCAAAAAAATTTGGAGATGTAGAGAAGCAATAATGAAAACAAAAGGGTTGTATTCATGTGTTGTCAATAAATGCAAACAAATTCACCTATGCTGAATTGGAAGAAAAATTTTGTGTAGATAAATTGTTACATATTAGATTTTTCTTGAAATTGTATTTATATTAGTTACTTTTAATGATAATTAGAAAAAATGCTTATGTTTTATGAAGCTTTTAACAAATAGTGTGACCAGTGCCAGGTATAAATTATTATTGCCTGTGAATAGATTCTTTCTATAGTTCACTTTCTCTATAATGGATCTTTCTATAACAGACTGAGAATTAAGCCCAATTTATATGTCCATATAACAGGTTCTCTCTACAGTTCACTCTCTATAATAATAAATAATAAAACAGATCTTGTTCTGTATCTTGTTCTATAACAGGCTATAATGGCATTTTTTCCTAACTCGGATAATCCATTATAGAGTGAACTGTAAATAGGAAAAAAATTAATATAATAAATATTTTCTAGATGTTAAGTTAATGAATTTTTAAAATATTTAGAATGAATTACTTTGAACTCTTCATGGAAAAATTTTGGAAAGCATGATGGAAGTAAATGTATGAAAGTAAAACAATTTCTAAGAGCAAATCTAAAACAAAAAGGAGAAGCAGGTGAGTTGGATGCAAACCAAAAATAAAACTATAGAAAATTGAATAACAGAGAACATAAAAAAGAATCAGCCAAGAAGAATTGGATATTATTGTTATATCATAAAAAGAACCAATAAACATAATTTTTTAGTTTTATTATTCTGTAAATTCCAGTATTATACATAAAAAAGTTGATTTTTATCCCCAATCAAGATTGACAAAAAAAAGTTTTTTTGTTTATTGACGTCCACGAATTAATTGTATACTCACTCACGTCATGTCACAAAGTCACAAATTACGTCTTGTGCAACTACATTATTGCTTCAGAAACTCTAAGCTTTCATACTAGAAAAATCACTATTTAATCGAACCAATACTTTTTTTGCAATCCGTTATGCCTTTATGATTGTATTCTGTATGAAGTAATATCAGTATTCTTCATTATAATATCTGTTATTTTCTTCTGACACGCTTGGGGAAGCTGTCGGCCTTCATATATAATTGGAATTTGCAAATCTTTTAAGAGAATTAGATGTAGCAGAAAATGCTATTGAGGGATTTAGATAATAGTGATCTTGAAGGTTTAGTTTTTTTTTCTCTCAAAGGTAATGTTTCAATGGCTTATTTAAGTATTAATGAATTGTCTCCTTGATGGTTGTGGCAATAGTATCGAAAAACTATTGTTTTTGGAAATCCTGTCTAAAAAACTGTGTCTAAGTTAAGATTTTTAAATAAACTAAATGTGAATTTTATACTTTTTTTCGATATTCCATATGTAAGTTATTGTAGTTGAGAAAGTTAAATATTTGAACCCTGAAATTTCCTCCTTACATATGTCCGTCAATCCATATAAAATAAATATTTCAAGCCTTGTAACTCTTTTTTTTTTATAAACAGCACTTAAAATTTTTATCATTTATAATCCTTATTATTGGTTCATATTTATGCAAAAAATTTAGATTAGAACCATATTTTGCTAGCATGTATTTTGTATTACCAATTGAAACACAAACCTGTTTACAGAACACTAAAGAATATAACAAGGAAACTATCCCGGCAATCTATTACTATGTAAAAAGTTTTTGGAGAAAAAATTTGGAAAACAAGAAGCGAAGGTGTCGCCAAATAGGAATTAAGAAGTAGGAGGCAAAAAGACGAGAGAACAGTAAATAGTAATAATATTAGTAAGAAATAATTAATAGTAGTATATAGTATAATAATTAAACATTAATTATGTAAATATATATGTATAGAAAACCAAATTTTATATAATAAAGTAACCGAGTTGTGGTGATGTCATGGGTCGGTAGGCCTGGATTGTCATCTTCGTTCAGGATGGCAAGTCACAGTTTTGATGGTGATATTATCATGACTGGTCAAGCTCTCTTTAACAAAGGTCTTCTATGGTTTGTTTTTTTAGTCCTACGTTCCCAATTTTTGGAGGAATTAAAGGATCTGCAAGGCCAACAAAAAGTCCAGCGACTAGGTGACTTCTTGCCAGAAGGGAGAGTAGTAATAGTAGGCAGAAGGGCCATTTTAATTTACCAGTTTTCCCGGCAAAATTTTTCAGACGATCAATATATAGTAAGAGAGAAATTACAATAATCTATATAAATAATAAATTTAGTATACATGCCCGTCCGCCATTCAGGATGGCAGGAAGATATACATGCAACCAGACCAAAAAAAAAAAAAATTATATAATTCGAGTAACATTATTTAATTTTAAAAAGAAACAATTTTTCTATTCTCACATTAACAAAAATTTAAAAATTTAAAAAATGTCTAAAAAACATAATAATAACAGTGTAGTTGATACAACTTCATCAGATTCTTCGCATAAACAACCAATAAAAAATCTGGGTTTTGGCGAGATTACTATAACATTTTCACCATTAAAAGCCATATCACTTTTAATGATCATTATTTCAGCATTATATGGCTTGGATGTATATAGAGACAACAAATCAGTATGTGACTTTGTAGTTGAAGTTAATGATGACAAGTATGGATGGCTTCCTGTTCCTGAACATTCAAGTTCTGCCCTTGCAAGATATAAACATTTGGATAATGGAGCATTTGTTTATCGACACATCTACATGGACGAATTTCAAAAAGAATTCAACGTTCAACCCATTCATTATCCAGTTAGTATACATGCTTTTTATTTATGCAATTACTTATATTAAAGTATATGTCACTTTTATAATTATATTTTTAAATATTTATCCTTAGGTGTATGATGTTGAACTTGCGAAATATTTAGAGAAACATGATCTAGTAAATAGACTAAGAGCTAATGAAACAATTGATCAAAATGTTATTACAAATATTTTAAGGGAATCAGAAAGATATGCACCGTTTCTTGCCAATATTAAAGCAAAAGTTGAGAAGGGGACTTTTGTTGATGATGAGAGTGTTTATGTTCGATGGGTTAATGACGATGTAAGATATGGAATGTTTGCTGCAAAAGATTTCGTACCAAGAGATTTCATTGGAGTTTATGCTGGTAGATTATTTATTTATTATAAATGATTTTGATTGTAATGAAAATGATCATATAATGATTGATTATTAAATGTTTGTATATTTTTCTTTTAGGCATGATAACTCATCGTCTTACTGATCTTGAATATGGTAATTTGATTTTTTTTAATTATTCAATATACTTAAAAAAAATTTATACGAATAATAAATTTATTTATTATTTTAATCGTAATTAAACTTATTTAATTATATTCTGATTATGATCATTGTAGCGTGGGAATTCAATTATCTTGTAGATATAAATGATGAGAATGGTCAAAGGATTAGAGCTTGTATTGATGCTAAATATTATGGAAATTATTTGAGATTCTCAAATCATCGTGACAGTAAGTCCACCATTCAAAAAATGGAAAAATAAATGTCCACATGTTTTGCGTGCACAATAAGTCTTTACATATTTTTATAAATATAATTTTTAGACAATCAAAATGCAGGACAATTATACGTTGCTTATAATGATATCTGGAATGTAGTATATCTTGCGCAATCCTATATTAAAGTAAGTAATTTATATTACCTATTGAAAAATTGATTAAATTATTATTTATTATTATTAATGGAAGCGCCAATTATTTTATTATCGCTATAATAGCCTCACGAACAAATCTTTGTTAATTATGGTCAAGGATATTGGGAAAACAAGAAAAAATATGATTTATAAGAATGAACAATATTAATATAATATTTTGAAAATATAGATTTAATTTTTGTTTTTCTTTTTTTTATATTATTTAGTTATACACAAAAAAAAAAAAAAATTATAATAAAATTTATTTATTTCATTATTAATTTGAGCAAGTGTTTTTAACTAATAAAAGTTTGCCTTACTAAAAAAAATTAAAGAGAATTAAAATTCCCAAAAAAAAAACTTCAATTTAAAAAAAAATTATTCTAAACATTAAATTTAATTGAATCTATTTTTATTAAAATAAATGTAAATTTTGTACAATTAACAATAATGTCAATTATTATTAATTACAAATGAAAATGATGTCACTACTATTACTACTACTGTTATTATTATTATAAAATGATTAAAATAATAAAGAAATTAAGACAACACTTCCACTAAATATTACTAAATTAAATAAATTATTACTAATACTGAGATTATTATTAATTGAATTAGCAGATGATGTCTTGTCCGTTGATGAAGTTGATGGAGATGGAGATGAAGTTGAAGATGAGGATGATGGGGCAGGAGATGGTAATGCTGCTGAAGTTGTTTTTGGAGCACTATTACCAATATATATGATACCCCACATACCACCTCCACTGCAATGATTTTGCACACTACATAAATACCAAAGTATACCCTTATCTTTTGTAATATCCAATGTAAATTGTTTGGTAGGTGGATTAGTTACTGATTGAACTGGAGATTATGGATTATGATATAGGTTTTGAAGAGTCAGGATTGGTGATTATTAAGGAATTGGAAGTTAGTGTGAATCGTAATAATATTATTTAAGGTTTAAATACTTGATTCAAATATTAAAAATATTAATTACTTACAAGCATCAGGTGCGGTTGATAATTCGCATGAACCATCAGGTCCATCTGATTGAACTACATTATGATTTCCACCATCAAAGACCCATACAATCTATAAATTATAATTAATCGTGTTATTATCATAAATGCTTATTATACAATGTATAATAATAATGTCGTTATTACTTACCGTGTCACCTTTAACCACTGTGACATTTTGAGGTCTAAATGATAATGTTGGTAATCCCGTTTTTTCATCTTTTCCACCTACGTGAACAGTTATGTTTGCTGAAGATACGAAGGTCGAAAGAAAACAAACCAAAATTAAACTGATACTGAATAATATTCTTCGCGACATCATGTATATAAATATAGATTGGTTCGTTAAATAATTATCAAAATTTCTTTTAAAATCGTAATTTATATACTTTGATATTAAATAAAACAAAGAATATTAACCAACAAAAAAATCTCGAAACAAATTAATTTAATAATATTAAGAATTAAAAAAATCTTCAAAAATAGATAATTTTAAAAGAAAATTTTGTTGGCAAGGGAAAAGAAGATATTAATATTTATTTTTATATCTTTATATATAAAATTGGCAGTGTGATGCATTGCAATTAATTAAAATTTCTAAAAATAGAAAGGAACTGGTTATTTTGTTTATTTTTGTTAATAGTGTGGCGTGTAAAATTTTATTTGTACAACAAAAGAAATATTACCCGAAAATCGAAATGCAAATCTCTTCGAAAATTTATGTTCCAAAAAAGTCTTGGTGTTTTTGCTATTAAAAGAGTTTATTTATTTCCGTTCATATATTTCATTATTTATTTAATTATCATATTCATTATCTTTTTTCATCGACGATAAGAACAATTTTGTCTGTAAATAACGATGGTTTTCCCGGATAACATCAATTTTCATTGATGATAATAATATCGATTATTCAATAATTAATTAATATGATAAAAGAACCTGAAGTTCATAGCAACAATTTTAATAATTATAATATTCCTAAGCCACAGCATTAGCTTGAAAACAAGTTTCTAATTGGTGATAATACTTTGCCCCTTTCCAATCTCACGCCTCTTATGTATAATATTATTCTAAGCCCATCTAAGCAACTGTCATGAATGGTTGCAACTCCAAAAAAATTAATTGATTTTATATCTTTCAATAAAGCTTGATTGAACACTTGGATTATTTTGAACCGACAAATGTATAATTAGAGATTATTATCTTCTTCTGAGCAAACCTTCTGAGATCTACTTCTAAACTATGAAATGTTGTTATTAGAGAGAGCCTTACAAAACTTCCATAATAATAATAATAATAAATCATCGATTGCGAATGTTTTGAAATTGCGCTTAATAGTTTATCCGATATTTTTGAGCCTCTATCAAATTGAGCTAAGACTATCTATCATTAATCAAAAGGTGACAAAACCGACATACTGGATTTATCCTTTTTCGACACCATTATTAAATAAATTAATCTGTTAAAGATTAGAAGAATCACGTTCCAATTTATTGAGATTCTCGAAACAATTATTGCCAACTGAAGCATATTAATAGTTGTTGCATGATCCAAAACAAACAATTAATTTTCGTAATGTCGCAAACTTTATTGATTAGAAAATTCAATGTGAATTATTCTTTTTTAAAAAATCCATGTCATCCAAAAACAATTAATCAACAATATATTAATGTTTGCCTTCAAAAATGGGATGGATCTTTCCCTAATCAAGGCTATGCCATTGTTTATTAACCAGAATAACCATAAACGTACGAAAACATTTCAGTTTAAAGTTCAAATAGTAGACATTTTGTTAGAAAGAGAAATTTTTTCAATCACATCATAAAAACGTGACTTGATTATCTATTTTATTAAATAAGTTGATTTACAAATTAAATTTATATTTTTATATTAATTACATTCTTGATGGCAAAAAAAAAAAAGATTATATATATTAGCTATATGTTTCCAGAACGAAAAATATTAATAATATCAAGAAAAGACAACATTATTGTTGTTGCCATTATCATCAAATTCTTACCTGTAAAGTCATTTGTTTATCGGGATCAATAGAATTCCATAATGTTGTTTTATATTCTTCTGTAAAACTGTTTAGAATAACTTTTAAAGCACTAACCATCCTTGTAGCTGTATCTTCCGGTAATATTTCAGCTGCAAGTACATCAATAAAAATATTAACAATATGAGGGAGATTTGCATTGTTATTTCCAAGAATTGCTGGATGTTGTCTACAAAATAAATAAAATATGAATTAGCATATGAAAAATTGATTGATTTATTTTATTCGAAATTTTTTTACTTACGCCTCTAATAGATCTAATAAGTATGAATAGGTAAGAGCTGCCTCTTCCTCATCGTAAAGAATGGGAAGTGATGCAAACCATGAAGGCAGTACTGTGTTTACGTCTATTTTAGTATTATTAAATTTAAGTATTTTTGTGATCGCTGAAATGGCATTTTCTGTTGCATAAACATTTTCATCTTTTCTTGAATCTTCAATGTTTATTATTTGAAATAATGGATTTAATGATGCTATTGAAATAAACAAAATATTATTGTTGTTGTTATTTGATTATTATTTATAAAAATACCATTATACATTTAATAAATTTGTAAATAATAAGACAATTAAATTTTGTTTTCATAAATCATTAACCTGCAATTGCGTCTGTGTAGTTTTCTCCTCCAAATTGTGCGCATACTCCAATACCATACGCTGCAGCTTGCCTAACATCCGGTGCTATAAACATGTCGTATTAATAAATTATATATAATCATATAAATATCTATTTTTTTAAAAAAAAAAGAAAAAAAGAATACCTATATCCATTAATGAAGCAATCATTTTTTCTAAAAAGTGAGCATGATAATTCCATGATGCGGGTCCAGTAAACTCAATAACATCATCAATGACACATAAAGCCCATTGCCTAGCAGATGAATTAGCGTCAGCTAAAAACATTTTGACAACGGGCAATAAATTATCAAATGATGAAAGATACGCTGTTCGATGAGTTTTCAGGATGACATGTAAAGCTTTTGACAATTCACCCAAAACACCTTCTTCCGTCGCCTCTTCTTCCATAATAAGATCCTCGTCATCAGCATCATAATCGCCACTATGACGAGCTTGTTCGCGTTGTTGCAATCTTCGATAGAATTCTTGCAATTGGGCTTCAGTAGCTTTGGTAAAAACATTCAATAATTGCTCATCAAGACTATTATCACCAACCACCTCAAGTGATTCATGAAAAGTAACATACAATTGCCATAGAAAACTGGTATCAGTCTCGATCATAATACACTCGATAATTTTTTTTGCAATCGTGTGCCACATATTTAGAATATATTCAGGGCTTCTTCCGTCGCCTCTTCTTCCATAATAAGATCCTCGTCATCAGCATCATAATCGCCACTATGACGAGCTTGTTCGCGTTGTTGCAATCTTCGATAGAATTCTTGCAATTGGGCTTCAGTAGCTTTGGTAAAAACATTCAATAATTGCTCATCAAGACTATTATCACCAACCACCTCAAGTGATTCATGAAAAGTAACATACAATTGCCATAGAAAACTGGTATCAGTCTCGATCATAATACACTCGATAATTTTTTTTGCAATCGTGTGCCACATATTTAGAATATATTCAGGGCTAGCATTTGCTTTTTTGACTGCTTGTAATAAATGAGGAATTGTGGCTGCTGCTGCATTTCTAACACCTTCGTGAAAAAGAAATTTTAATAATGGCAAGACGATTTCCAAAACTTGCTCAACATATGGACAAAATGCTGGTCCTAGTTCACGAGCATAACAAATCAACATTTCAACAGCTGTACATTTTTCTTCCAATACAGTTGTTTTAATGCCAATTTGCTATGTTAAAAAATAGATGCATATATGTGCGTGAGTATGTGTGGTTATTAGTGTTATCATTATTTAAAGAATCTATAAATTTATAATTATTTACCTGACCCTCTACTCCTACAAATTCCCAACCATCTTCAATTGAATATTTGTTTTCAATATCTTCATCGGCTAAAGTATTTAATTAATGATAGGTTTTAAACCATTATACAAATTCACATGTATCCATATTTTTTTATATTATATACAAAATAACTTACGATCTAAGATAGCAAAATCAGGTTTTAATTGAGCAGATTGAAGAAGAGGTGGCATAACAGTTGGAAGGTAGGGCACAAAATCCGGACCAAGTACTTTACAAACTCTAGCCCAAGAAGCAATAAGATATGATACTTGAGGATCGTCAGGTTCAGTAACAGATTCTGTACAAATATGATTATTAATTAAGGCAATGTTAATCTTGATGTTAATGACAAATTCACTAATAAAAATATCGCCAACGTTTCCTTAATAATAACAATAGCAACCCTAACCAAATAATACATACGTTGAATCATCGTCAACAACTGTATAAATTCAGGAGCATTTTGTAAAAAAATTTCTTTTCCAACCGCCAAAGCTATAAAAAAAGGAAAGATTATCATATATACATGCAAAGAATCATCACATAACAAAAATTAATCAATCAATCTACCAATAAGACTAGCACATTCCATCGCTTTACCACGTAACAATCGATATTCTTTCTGACAAGCATCTCTTAATACATTAATTAATAAAGGCATAATTCTACTATAATACTAATAATAAAAATAAAAATTAATTTGAATCATATAAATAAATATGTGTCTATATAAATACATTACAAACATACATGCATATAATTTTTTACATACTTTTACGAATCTATCTTCTGAACTGTCAGCTACAGTAGCGATGGTGGTGATGGCTTGTTCTTGAACATAAGTTCTTCCTGAATTTAAAAGAACAAGTAGTCTTTCAAAAATTGTATCCAAATATGGTTCAAGTATTGATTTATCAGCTGCTTCACAAAAATTAACTAGAGCTGCAGCCGCGTGAGCTTGAACTCTTTTTTTTTTTTTTTTTTTTTTGATGGGAGAAAGAGTAATAGTAGTAATAATAATAATAATAATAATAATAATAATAATAATAATAATAATAATAATAATAATAATAACAACAATATAATATATCATTATCTTGATTAATTATATTAATAACTTTATTATTTTACTCAATGTAATAACGATAGATATAATCAATCAATTATATTCACCTAGCTTCAGGTGCATCCATTACGGGAATTAAATTGGTGAGAACAAGTTGATGATATTTTCGTTGGAGTGTATCTTGAAAATCTGTTGACATTTGACCAATAGCATTACAAGCAGCATATCTTACTCTAGAATTTTGATCTCTGAGATACGGCAATACCAATCTTCAAACAAAAATAATTATTATAATGATTATAATAATAATAAATATATGTATATATAAATATATATGTATGTATGCATATGTACATACATTTATATTACTGATATAATAAGAAACATACTCGATAATTTTTCCCAATTCAGCTTCCATGATCTTCACACAACCTTCACCAATAGCAGAAATAGCCATTAGAGCTGCATGGCGTTGTTCCCAACTTTCAGATCCCAACATGGAAGGAATATATTGAAAAGCTATTGGAAGTACGGCTTTTCCACCTGTAATCAGTTATATTAATCAAACGCAATTAATATACATGTACTTGATTATTGATGAGTCAATATACAAAAATCATATTACCAAGATTACGAGCCAATCTATCCATGGCATGCTCACCAACCACATAATTTTCATCATTATCACTATCTTCCAACTGAAACAAAATTTTTGAATAATTTATATATTATAAGTAAATATGTATATATGCGTGCGTGCGTATTTCTGATTGATAATGTAACATAACAAAGCAGCAATAACATACATCATCTGTGGTATGCCATGAATCTATGTCTACCAAATCTGTCATCATCTCCAAAGCAATTGGTATAACTTGAGTACAAAAATCAGGTGATTTACGCATCATTGATGGAGATGTTTCTGATAAAGTCAACAATAGCTCCAAAGCAGTTTGACGAGTATTATCCTCAAAAGATTTGTCCTTCATAATGCTTACAGAAAAGGAAATGACACTAGAAAGTACAGGTCTAAATATCCGAGGTAAACTTTCGCCCAGTTCAATGAACACCATTATACCATCAATCAATCCATCTCCATCGTGTTTGGTTACCAAGGGAAAAAGCACCTACATAGATAAAAAATTTAAAAGCTTAGATTAATTTTAATTCTTTTGGAAAAAAATAATAATGATGATGATAAATTTTTTATTTATTACATCTAACATTTGTGGCATTAACTCAGCAAAAGAACTCCTGTTTTGCTGGTCAGTTTCCAAAACAAAAGCGACGGAAGCTTTCAAAGTAGCCATACGAATCTAATAATGTATTACATACAGTGTTATTAAAATATTATTATAATAATGAATAATATACATAAAATAAAAAACTTCTATATACCTCTGGATTGTCAACAACTTGTAAATTTTCAGAAAAAACTTGTTTTACAATCTCTATTGGTTGGTCTGTGATAAGAGTAGGTACAGCTGAAAATATACGTAGAGCTGCTTCACGATGTTCAACGGAAAGTGATTTACTTGCTTCAAAAAGAGCCGGTAATAATTGATCCCACTTTTCTAAATTAGAAAATAGTATAAATACATAATTAATTATTTGTTTAGATTTTACTCGATCAAACATTAACTAATTAATCGAATTAACTAACTACTTACGTCCTTTCCCAATCATGTTCTTTGCTATCTCGGAAACGACATCACAAACTTTGTGACGTACAGTGTTTTCTTGCTCAATTGATAAAGCAATCAATAAGTCATGTTTTATAGCCTCCATACTCTGAGATGGAATAGAATCCCATACAGTCACACCATCAATCTTAACAGTTTGATTTTGTACTTGCCTAAAAGCAATTCTACGAAGCAGTACAAAAGCAAATGCTCTTCCCTACAAATTCAAAAAAATATACTAGACGCGTCATAGTGTGTGCGTGTGTGTGTGTGTGTGTATATATAATAAGTTAATGATAAAAATTTACCTCGATTTTGTCGTGAGTTCTACCGAGTTGTGTTAGTGAAAGAAGTAAAAAGTTTGGTTGTTGGGCGAGCCACTGTTCATTTAATTGTTTCTCAGCTGTTGTTCGTAGATCATTATCATTAGTGGCCAAATTTAAAAAGACTTGGTTGAATTGAGAAACTAGCTCTGGTGAAACAAGTGATGAGACGGCAGTTTCCATTACTTTTGTGAAAAAAAAAACAAATAAAGTCCTAATAAAAATGCCAAAGTAAAATGAAACAGATGCTTCACTCGTGAGTATTAATATATGAAGATCAATAACAACACGTAAAAAAACATTTCCACTTGAACATTAATTTTTTTTAAAAAACTCGAAATAATGAATGAAAAACGATTTTTCGAGATTATGACATACTCTATAAAAGGCCTTTTTAAAGATCGATTTCGTTAAAAGTTTAATTAAAAAAGATTCAAAGGAGCTAGCTATTTTTTTTTTGTTTTGATGAATTTTATTTATTAAAAAATTTTTTTTTAAAAAAAAAATTTGCTGTAAAACAATAGAAACAATGATTTACAAAAAAATCATCAGAAAGGAAAGAGTAATGACGTCATGTTTTTTTGTTGTTGGTATTAGGTAATAAATATATATAAATTTAAATAATAATAATAATAACAATAACAATAATAGCGATCAATTCTACCCCAAAACTATTTTATTATTCCGAGTTAAGGAAAGTTATTATTATGCGACGCACAACCCACACATCTCGCTGCATTTAAATTCCTGAATAGAAATCACGTATTTATTTTTCCTATTTGTCAATATTAGATTGCAATAAAATATCGATTGATTCGCATCGGTCTTTTAAATGTTTACCGCTTTAAAGTCAATTATTGTTGTTGCCAATAATAAATTTGTGTTATAAAAAACAAATTGCTCAAATCTAAACCCAAATTCAAATTCAAATTCAAATTCAAATTCAAATTCAAATTCAAATCTGTTACCGGAATTAGACTTTAACGCAGATATTTTGACCGAACCTCTTAATTTCCGGGATAATTTAATTTTTATTCCTATTTTAATTGTTTTTTTTATCTTTATTCTATTTTTTATTTTTCTATTTATTTATTAGCATGGTGGACATTCATTTGTTCCACAAAATCATAAAATGTTACACAGAAAAAAATTATTTAAGGGTAGAGTGTAGGTAACACGAATTTCACTATGATACTGTTGATAAAAAAAATTACGTAACACTCTGAGTTG